CCAGATGCTCAGGAACGTTGACACAAAGAGACCACTCAAGAAGGATACAGGGGGGAGGGGGATTCCAGTAACTGTTCACAGTGGCAATCAACTATCGATCTGCCATCCAGTATACATCGACTTGGCTAACAACTGACAGACAGCTACAGATAGACTAGAGGACCTGACATTAGTTGTTGTTACATCACCTAACTGTTTTTGTTCCATCCGACCGAAACTAGTTGTGATTCATAATCGGTTGTGTATCAGGCTAAGGTAGGATTCAGTGTGGATTCTAGTTTAGATCACACACACTGTAGCTCATGAGTGATGCAAGCACTAGTGAGGAGGAGTTGCTAGTGGACGACCGCAGGACAACTCGCGGGACAGCTCGTAGTCGACCCTTGACATTCTTGGAGTTAGGTCCAGGAGACGAGAGAAGATTGAGGAGAGAGGCTAGAGAGAGAAAAGCGGCAAGGAGAGCGAGGGCAGCTGAGGATAGTGCCAAGACTAGAGTCTCAGCTAGTACCGGTGCAACCATGGCTACCTCATCTATGTCGCAAGTCTCTACACAGTCCACTTCGTCAGGAGTCGGTCAGAGGTTCTCAGGTTTCCACTAGTCAGATTGCTAGCTTGCGAGTTAGCCAGCAAACTCAACTCACGGCGGAGGATTTAGAAATCCGTCAAGCAGAAGAACTTCAAGATGAGCTACAGAGGCAGTTGGACAATGCAGCAGAGAGGAGAAGAAAAGCCATACTTAGGAAGGCTAGACTGGGGAGTAGAATGCAGGAGCTAAGGAGACTGGAAGGACTAGATGAGGCAGCATTAGACCCTGCTGGTCGTGTGCTGCGTAATGCTTTACTTTCAGTAGCTGAAGCGCAGAACGTCCAGCAGGAATTGCTGGCCGAACTGGTGGCAGGCCAGAAACAAATCCTGGCTGGACTTCGGGCTCCTTGCACAGTGGTGAGGCAGCCACAGTTTGCTGTAGTCCCCCCTGCGGCTGCGGGTCCTTCATCGATGCCGCAACACACAGGGCAAACTTTCTCTCCTATGTTTGGCATGCCCCCTCCGGGTGGTTTAGCAGCAACTAGTGGTCCGGTTCATAGAGTCTCAGCCGTACCATCCACAACAGTGGTCACTACAGTCCCACTGTCAAGCCAGGCCCAGGTTAGTGTGCAACAGCCTGTTTCAGCGGCTATGCAGCACTCAAGGGGAAGATGCCTGCAGAATAAAAGACTTCTCAGAGGACTCACAAAGTAAAGGAGGAGGGAATGCGAGGATCAGGGTCCTCAGTAGGGCTATGGGGCCCTGTTTGCAGCATTACCCGCCCTAAGTGAAGGCGGAGGTGCCCGCCCTAAGTGAAGGAGGGCCTGGCTTTTTGCAGGAGACCCTCGACTGTCAATTTCATATTTGGGGTCCAGGCAGTTGCGACACGCCAGTTGGTTGAAAGAAACACAGGCCGAGCAACAAAGACATTTCCACGGCCTACCGGGCCTTTCCAAAAAATGCAGGCCCTGGGCGTGATTCACAGCCTCATACCGAGACAGCTGGGCGCCCAACCGAACGAGGCCCAGCCGCACGGTAGCTGTTGCATCCAGGCAGCCTGCTGGGGCTTTCCGGAAGCTTCAGGGCGCAGGCCAGGGCAGCCAAGCTGCGTGAGCAGGCCAACTCTTTCCATAAAGGAAAGAGCTCGGCCCTGGCTGCCTCATTCAGGCACTCGCACGCTGGCGGCAGCGCTGCTGGAGCAAGAGCTCGCAGCCTGCTGGCTGGCGCTGAGAGGCGAGGTGCAGCACGTGTAGTCGTGCAAGGAGGAAGGGCGCTGCTGAGGGCAGCGCCATAGCCCAACCACCATAGCTGCTGGGCTTGGACTACAGTGAAGCGCAGGGGTGGTCTTCGGGTGAAAGAGAGGACCTTTCCAAAGAATGCAGTCAGGGGATAGATGAAGGATGATGATGATGATGATGTGAGGGCACTTACCTTGTACAGGCGATGGTCTGCATGGGCGACATCTTCAAGTACTTCGGGCTGCCGCTGATGTCAACAGTTGCATTGTCTTTTTGTAGTCTGTAGTAGCTGTGTGGGCGTAGCCTGGACACTGAGCCCCAAGTGTGAGTGTGAAGGAACTGGACTCTTGTGTTAGGAGAAGAGAGTATGCTCTCCATGAACATTGGTTTTCAATGCTACGAACCTCCATTGGTGTATTATTGGTGCAATGCTGCTCTCTGGACACGGTGTGACTATTTGGCTTTCAATGTGATGGTGTGATCTGGAATTGTCATCTTGCTGTTAATTATTTTCCTTGCAATTGGGCAGATCCTCTGATTGAGAGGTCTGCTCCAATACCAAACTGTCACATACCATAACGGTACAGACCTGAACAGGAACCGACCTCTCTCACGTAGTACAGGATAGCGCAGCGGAAGGCTAAAATACCGATGATCAGACCAATCAATGTTGCAATGCAGACCAACCATACATCATCTTCATTGCATAGTGTGAAGGGGACTGGCGCTCACACAGGAAGAATGTGCCAGACCCAAACCGTACACAGACGAGGAGGGGGGGGATCAGACGAAGAAGAAGGGAAGATGGAAATGTCGTCAACACCAAGTCTTTGATACAGATCCCAAATAATCCCTCATCCAATGTCGCTGACCCCAATGTCGAGTCTGAATCCAAATGTGGTCAAATCTCAAAGCCGCAAATCTCTCTCTCTCTCTCTCTCTCTCTCTCTCTCTCTCTCTCTCTCTCTCTCTCTCTCTCTCTCTCTCTCTCTCTCGTAGTCTGCAGACCAGAACAAGAACCGACCTCTCTCACATAGTACAGGATAGCGCAGCGGAAGGCTAAAATACAAATGATCAGACCAATCAATGTCGCAATGCAGACCAACCATACATCATCTTCATCGCATAGTGTGAAGGGGACTGGCGCTCACACAGGAAGAATGTGCCAGACCCAAACCATACACAGACGAGGGGGAGGGGGATCAGACGAAAAAGAAGGGATGATGTGAATGTCGTCAACACCAAGTCTTTGATATAGATCCCAAATAATCCCTCAGCCAATGTCGCTGACCCCAATGTCGAGTCTGAATCCAAATGTCGTCAAATCTCAAAGTCGCAAATCTCTC